CGTGGGGTCAAGGAGTAACAAGAACCACTTTCCAGAATTCATGGTCATTGTCGCCCAATGCTTCCCTAAGTTGAAAGTGATCTGTGTTGGAGACAGCAGGTGTATATGTGGTGTGTGTGTGTGTGTGTGTGTGTGTGTGTGTGTTGTGTGCCATGGTGGTGGTGGTGGTGGTAGCTAAACAAGCTACCAGAGCTTTACATAAGGCAAATCATTGGGATTCAGGAATCAAATACTGAAAAAAGACCCAGTTTCCCAGGTGGGGAACAGGCTACTTGACAGGCAAACTGAGTTAAGTGCATGGCCTATATCCCATGCTCCTCGGACGCAGGTATGGGAGGCTTTCAGTGCATTGCTGTCTGCCACTGAGTTCCCAATCCACAGGGCCTAGAACAGAACCTGGAACAATAACCTTAAGTTTCATTTTTGGAGGTTAATGCAGTAGCCTTGAGCCACAAGTCTGTTTACTGAAGGCTGGAACAACCATTCAATTTATTTGTTTCTTTTTATATTTTCTTCCAATACTAGGGGGTATAATCTTTCTCTGCGCGCGCGCGCGTGTGTGTGTCTGTGTGTGTGCATGTGTGTGCATGCACGCACGTACAGAGCCAAATAGACACCCCACATTATTGTAGAATGCACATGCTGCTGAACAAAGAGGCAGCAGGACATTTTAACATTTACGACCTCCTGCCAGAGGTCGTATAAAAAACCTTTTTTTTTTTTTTAACCTCCGAATCTCATTTAGTTACAGTGTGATGCTGGGTAGGTCTCTTCAATCTCCTTTGGTCTCAGTTTCCTCATTGGTATAAAGGAGACAATGGTACCTCCTTACAGGGCTATTTTAAGAATTGGAGCAAATATGTATAAAACAGTGACCCTTAGGGATGTTTTAAGAAATTAAGAAATATCATGTATGAAAAAGCAGTAAAAGAGTGTGATTAACAGTACTCAATGTAAGATAATATTTCCATCATTAATTGTTATATTTTCCTTTTAAGCTCACATACTAAGCGACTCATCAGAGGATCCTCTTTTGCAGGCTTTGGCTGCTAACTCATTCAATTTATAGTTACTTGTGTGGCTTTCAACAAGTCACTTCCTTCTCTAAGTGACCACTGTCTTGCACTAAACAACTGATTATACAGACACTAATTTCTACGTAGTCACATGTCTGTAAGCTGAACTAGGGAAACTGTAATACACGCTTCCAAGAAGATTCTTATTTGATTCCAGATAGGCAACTTATCTGCAGTCATTCACTCTGTTCCTAGGGATTCAAAATCGCTTGCAAAATCAGGCTCTTTGTCAACTGTGACACTGAGTCTACAATTAGACTGTAGTCTCCTTAAGAACAGAGATATGGCCATGTCCAACACGTACCCTCCATATTCACACACAGCCATACTGCATTCCCTTTAATATAGGAGACACGAATGCTGGCTGTCAGGGAACCACCACCATAATCACCTTCACCTAACAGCTCCGCAATGAGTTATTCACACTCAATCACCAAAAATGTAGTTTAAAATTTGAGTTTAGAGGCTGCAGGCTACTTTACCACAGGTCAACCATTAAGTTTTGTTTGGTTTGCCTACACAATGCTTTAACATTTCTCAGTTGGCTTCCAAACTTTAAAATCTGGAAGATTTGGCATTAAAAAAAAATCTCAGTTTAGATTGCTATTGAACAAATGGAAGATCTGGCGATAATTTAGGCTTAAACAATCAGCAGCAGCTGAGGAAGAGCTGCCCTTTTCACTGCCCTCCGGTTCACTATAGTCTCCACTATTCCCTGGGGCTTTAACTTGCCCTGGATCTAGTTATTAATCATTACGTTTTAAAGCTTAGTAATTAACTCTTTGCCTGCAAAATCTATATTGTGTGTTACACCCAAAGTCATGTGTTTTGCATGAGAAAATGCAGAAATGCTTTAGAAAGGGCCAAGAAGATAGCCTAGAAGGCTGGAACACATGCTTTGCATGCTTGAGCTCAATCTCCCAGGGCAACATCAGGAGCAACTGATCAGGTGTGGTCAAACAGACAGACAAACAAACAAGCAACCCCCCCTCCCCCAAACCTCTTAACTCCCGAAAAAACAGAACACTAAAAGGTGGGGGCTGGAGAGATTAGTACAGGGATTAAGGCACATGCTTTGCACGCAGCTGACCCTAAATGGCTCTTGGGCACCACAGAGACCACCGATCATTTCCAAGTGCAGTCCTGGGGAACCCTGCACCACCAAGCATCACAGGGAGTATCCCTGGAAGCCCCCAATGCATTGGTGGCCCTGGCAATAGGCCTAAGCAGTACTAGATCCACTGAACTACAAGTAGGTTGGCCCAGAATTGAGAATACCTGGGCGTGGCTCTTGGACTCCCTGGGTGCCCCACCCCTATACAATACAAAAAAAAAGAAAAAAGAAACATCTGAAAACATTAAAAACATGAGAAGGAGGGACAAACTTAACCAAAATATACAAATAAGGCCAAATGATTCGAAGAAGATCTCTGTAATGCATGCTTCTAAAGAAGGTGTCCCCCCTCCCCCCCACATACAGACAAGTTATCATTCCTTCATGGGAGTTAGAGCAAAGAGATAAAACTCCTTTCACTTATCAAAGCAAACTGAAGCCGAAGTAAATAGTTGCCTGAAAGGCAGAAAAACAATTTTTTAAAAATTAATAAATGATGAGACTATTAACATCACATGAAAAGGGGTTGTTCTTTTCTTTCTCTCCTTTAATATGATTTTTACCTTAAACACTGTGTCCCTTTAGGAAAGGGAAGAAAAGTTAATAAAGGAACCTATCACTCAAACTTAATTTTTTGTATAGCAAATAAACTGCTTTAATGAAAGGGCTGAAATCCCCAGGTTTGCACATTAAATTTTCATTCGTAGAGGAGAATGGAAATTATTGATTCAGCTGTGGCATCATGCATTTTCAATCCTAGAGTGCCTCCGAAGCTCACGTTACTGCTGGTTGCAAATGTGTTGGCAGCATTTTGATGTAGGGTGAGCGCAGGGTGGGTGAGGGGGTGGAGAAAAAGATATAGAAAAGGAAAGGCGGCAGATTGGCTCTTCACAGAAATTAACTAATCAATGTTCCTTGTCTCTAAGATCCACTTAGACAAAGCAGGGCTTCTGAGGGGCCAGGGGGTGCATTCTGAGATCAGAAAAGCCAGCTCCTCTCAGTCTTTTGGGAGCCCCCAATGGTTTCCTCAGGATACTCAAACTAACAAAAAAGCAGAATGATGGCAGTGATTCGATCCTAAACTCTTGGGGGGAAGTCTGAATTTCCTGTAGAAGAAAGAAAAGCACCTTCCTCAGTTCAAGGTCAGGATGTCTATCAAGGGAAAAGTATCTGACAGTCTAATGCTGAACTGGATAGCATAGAAAAATCAATCAAACCCACAAACAGCTCTCAACCTCATCTAAGAATCTGGTGACATGAGCATTCCATCTTTATTTAGAGCAGGAAAATAGGTGTGTTTTTTCCTTTGAATGAAATTAATCCTCTCACCTCCTGAAGGACTACCTCAGGATTAAACAACTCTTGATTATTATTTCTCCCTTAGTGAGCTCAGAGGAGTTAATTCTGCTGAGACCAAGGCAACCTAAATCCGACCCGTTTTGGCATCTTTGTAGACCACAGACTGCATGAGATCAAGGAAAGCAATCATCTTCAAGAAGTAAGCTAAATTCAAATGTGAAAGCAAAGCTGCCTTTAAAAATGAAAGAAAAAGAAAAAAAGAAAAGAAAGATAAAAAGAAAAGAAAATTATGTACTATGTACCAAAACGAGAAGGCCTTTGCTTTGTTTTGTTTTGGCTCAAAGTATCTCCTAGCTAAGATTATCTTATGCCAGTGGTCGCCTCTGTCAGTCTGGATGCTGGAAAAGTAACTCAGCTGGACTAAAATGTCCTGGATTTGTGCTTGTAGGCACTGAGATCTGGTGCCATCTATAGATTTCCATTCTGGAGAGGCTTCTCTTTTGTCCTACTTTACATCAGACATGCTGTCAAGAGGATAAGAGCACCCAGGAGACACCTCCCTGGTTTAATAGGCTATGAAGGATGGGACTCATTAATTGGCTGGCAACTGCCCCCAAACAGGACGCTGGCTGGAGGTGAGGGAAGAAGAGGAAGGCAGGTCGAGGAGGAGACAAGCTCCATCCAGGAGACCATCCTTGCTGCCCAATGGGAGCGTCAAAGCCAGCACCACCTCTTTCAGAAGTTGGTGTCAGGAGGGTGCCTTCTGAGCCACACCACCTCCACCTAGGGGAGGAGGAGAGTGGGCAGGCTGTGGGTGACTGTTTTCTCTTTTAAACTTAAAAACACCCACATGAAATATTACCTATCAGTCTGATTATTTTCAGGCTGCTGAAATGTTGCTTTCTTTCTTGTCCCCTTTCCTATGCATCTCTTAATTTAATAGTACCCCTCTCTACTAGACACAGGTATTTATTTAGAACTTACTTTTACCTTTCCAAATCTTAGCTTGGAGGGGTCTCTTCATCTATGACTAACACCAAGTTGCTCACTTTGGCACACCTCTCTGCCTTATCTTGTCATCATTTCCCCATCCTAACTCGGGTCGTACTTGTTTCTATGCTGTTCTCCAGGAGCAGTTTACACACAACTTTGTGTGTGTGTGTGTGTGTGTGTGTGTGTTTTGTGTCCTCTGCCTGCTTCTTCCTGGGGCTTGGCGCTGGCTATCTCTATAGACTCAGGCTCAGAGTCCTTCTCGGTGGAAGAGTCACCCCTGATGCCTCTTCTGCCCTATGCATGGGAGACACTACTGCTTGGGTCCTTTCCTCCTATTGAGGCCCCACCTCACTCTTTTCTAATGGTCTGTGTCCCCTACATACTAAAGTGGACAGCAATGTCCTTTGACTAGATAAAGAATATCACTTTCAGCTCCCTCACTGCCTACAGCGATTAGATAAAAGGGATAAAATTTAACCAAAGCCTCCTGAATCAGGAGTCAGTGTATCACCTCTTACCTTTATGGTTTTGGTCTGGAGTCTGAGTCCATTTAAAGTGTTGATGGCTTTCTCTGCATCCTTTGGATCAATATAGTTAACGAATCCATACCCTAAACTCTGTCCTGTGGAAACAGTTTTTAAAAAAGAGAGAGTGATAGAGAAAGAGAGAGAAAGAGAGAGAGAAAGAGAGCTCAGTATCTTTGTAGAGGTAACATTTAGCATTGCAGAGAGTTAAAATCCTCCTCTAGTCCAGTGTTTCTCAACCAGGGGCCATATGGCCCCCCAGTGGGTCCTCAGGTTATTCCAAGGGGGCCACAAATCAAAATGACAGAAATGAGGGTCCACAGCATGAGCTTGGGGAGGCAACTGGTAGGAATGAAGCTGCCCACAGGAAGAAAACAGGTTGGAAGTGGGGTATGGTTAGAAAAAGGTTGAGAAACACTGCTCTAGCATTTGATTCTTTTTTTCTTGGGTTTACCCCAGGGTAAGAGGGTTCAGTTTTTCTATTTCATGCTGGTTCTCCTTTATACTCATAGGAACCACCCAGATAAATCCCCATGCGCATGCACACCAAGTATACACAAGTGCCTGTACATTCAAGAAGAGATGGATCAAGGTATAGTAGAAGGAGGGCAGCTGCATTTGACAGAAAAGACCCAAACTTGATTCCTGGGCCTTTTTCTATTAGTGGTATAATTCAGGGGGGAAGCTGCTATAGATACAGCATTTTCCACAGATAATTTTGAGAGGCTTCATGAAAAGTGCCATATAAAATGCCTGTCATGTACATGACTGAGAACATAGTAGCTGCTCAATAGAAGATAGCTATGCTACGATAATTGGGGTGAGTGCTGGATGCTATAGCTATGTCTGCAGCTTCAGTCCTGACAGCCACACCCATACTTTGAGGAACACAGTAGCATCTGAATAGCAAAGATCTGAGACATTTATAGTGAAGGCAAGGCCAGAATTTAAAACAATTGCCACAAATCATTAGTTGTTCCCCTCACTCCTGGTCTGAGAACAATAAAAGGGGGGGAAGATTATCTATTGGGAAGAGTTGGGGAGCTCCTAACACAAGGAGAGAGTGCAAATACATTCTGCAAGAAGGGTTTAGCTAGTTTAGGTGGAGAAGGCATCAACTTGTCTACAGAGAGAGGTAGCAAGTGACAGGGCTCCCCCCCTAAGTGAAATAAAAATAATGTGCTTGCGATCGTGCCACTGATTATAAATAGTCCATCAGCTCTGCCATGTGTCATCAGCCAGAAATATCATTAGGAAACTTTACATTTTCTGACATACCCTTTAAGAAACAGAGAGCTTTGGGTGACTGCAGAACCAGCTTGAACTTCCTAGGCAATGTTATTGATTTGTAGGCGGCAGCACAACCGAAGGGGAGGAAAATGACAGGACTCTGCATGTCAGGAAGACTGATTACATAAAGCTCTCTTTAGAGTACTGGGGCCAGGGCTGGGAGACAATACAACAAAAAGCCTGCCATGTCCTGGTGACAAGGAGCCCATTTCAGCAGCCAAAAAAATTTCCCAACAGCTTCTGTTTTGCTGGTACAAGTCTGTGTTTGTATTGGTTGTAGGAGGGAACCTGGGAAAACAAGTTGGGTTCTGGATCAGGAAATGAGTGACTTTGTTGTCCTTTATAAGCGGAAGTAAGGAGAATCAGGATGAAACTCAACTATAATCATTGTCTTCAAAATCAAAAACCTCAAATGGCCATCCTTCCCATCAGGATATTTCTTTGTTTTAGAATAACAGGGTTAGAATAGGAAGAGGAAAACTCTGCCAGGTTCCCTTTTAGAAGCCAGAATTAGTAAGGGAAGGCAGAGGAGAGAACAAGAGTCCACTCCAGGTGCTGCTATCCCTCTTTTTCCATTGCACCGTGTACATGTCGTGTGTGAGAGTGTGTATATGCATATGTAGGAGAGCATGAGGGGTGTGTGTGTGTGTGTGTGTGTGTGTATTATAAGACCTTATCACACGTTATAAGAAACTTTGCAAATCCAAAAATATAAGAGACAAATTTTATTGGTTTAAAAATATAATTTCTCCTAATTTGGCCTTACTTCATCAAGTCTAACTAAATTCACCTAATTAAATCCATTTTCATCGTGCAAATGTATCAGTCCTATTTGCCATGTATATGAGATGCTTTAAAAATTGCTGTCCTAGACTATTCTTATAATCATTTCTTTAAACAGTCATCAAAGGATTAAATTCCTTTGATCAGAAATATGAAAAACCAAATCTTGCATTACTTTGAAGGGCACTTTTAGAGTAAAATTATCTCAACGATAAACCTCACATATGACTAGGAAAGTGGTCAAATGGTCAAGTTATCAAATTATATTTGTGTAAAATAAAATATAAGAAAAACATGTACCACTTGACTGAGAACACAGGACGTAAATCCAAATAATCTGTGCATCATCATGCTGAGGGAATATATGTGGAGAAATTTATCATCTCACTTTGTTGCATGGTTCCTGATAAACTATCTTGCCTTTTGACTATGTTTATGGACATATAAAATAAATAAGTGGCTACTAGCTTCATATTGTATACTTTATCTTTGTTTAGATTTTCTTCCTTTAATTTTTATTTAGGCATGATGATTTACAGTACTGTTAATAAGAGCGTTTCTGGAACTATAATGCTCTAATATCACATCTACCACCAGAGTACCAGTGTTCCTCCACCAATATCTGAAGACACCTTCACTCCCGTCACTGATCCCCTTGGCAAACAGTTTTTGTCAGTTCTGTTCTCAGGATCTGATACCACCAGCCATTTGTACTTTTCTTACTATGCTTTATATTCCACACATGAGAAAAATCATTTCATATTTTAGACTGTTTCTTTTTGAGAGATACACACACATGCACGCGCGCGCACACACACACACACACACACACACACACACACACACATCCTAAGAAGGTTCTGAAGGTGAAATGAAAGAAAGGACTTAGGCTGAGCAAGATGTGTCATATCCACCCACCTGCTGTATGGGTCCCAAACCCACCATCATCTTAGTACTTGACTGCAATTAGCACAACTGTGTTATCATCATCTGTTCTAGGTTTAGAAAGAGAATGCATTTAACAGCAAGAAGGAGGGTCCCTTTGGGAAAACTAAAAACCAAATGAACATCGTTTCAGAAAAGAAGAGGGGAAATGGGTGGAGATTGCCCTTGATATGTAATAATGAACTGCCAACTCTGAAACAGAACACTGCCTTGAACAAGAAGACAAAGGTGGAAAGACCAGCCTGTGAATCGAAAGATGCGAGATAAACTGGCAGCACAATAAATTTACCTGTGGTTAGCCTAGTTCACGATCAGGCTTCTTCATGTACCTCTCGCTGTTACAGGAGTTTAGCAAAGTATAACAAAAATATCTATTGAGCTGAGCATTCTCTTTTAAATAGCTGAGTGAGGATTAAATTCCCTTGATCAGAAATATGAAAAACCAAATCTAATTTATTCCAGAAACTAAAGTAGAGAGGAAGAAAGTAAAATGGGGAAGAATTTTATCTTTAATTTTGGAGGTAATATAGCATGATGTTTTAGATTGGCAGATTTGTATTTTAGGTAGGTAGAAAACTACGGAGAGAGAATCACTAGCTTAAGCTTGGTAGGTCCTGTGGTCTCTGTCATGATAAATTTGCCATTGTAGTGTGAAAGCAGCCACAGGCAATGAATAAGCACATGAATTGCTTGATCTGTTTCAATGAAACTATTTAGAAAAACAGGCAGTGGGCTCAATTCATCCCTTGAGTCCTTGATCTAGATCTTCTGATTCCAAATTTTGTACATTTTGCCATAACCCTGTTGAACTGCTATGGGACCATTATGAAGCCTGAAATACCTCCCAGGCTGTTTGGAATCATTTAAGAAAAGATAAATTATCTTCATTGGCCTGTGTGAAGCATTTAAAACTCTAGGAAGTATCAAGATCATAGGTGATATAACCCTTCATGATATAACCCTTCATTTCCCCTTCCATTTTGGAGAGACCTGGTTTTCCTCTACCTTTCAAGGAGGTGCTGGAGGTGATTCCTGGGGTAATCCCTCCTGGTTGACAGCAGTGGCAGAGAAGCGGCCCTCTAGCAGTGCTGGCTGGAAGGAGCCTCAGCATTTCTGCAGTGCCAACTTGCACTTTTTGCTCTTTTTTCTCTTCAAAAACGGTCTTTTCCACAAACCTAACTGCTTCCCCCCTCATCTACAAATGATGCCCGAGGGGGTGGCCAGATGGGTAGCTGCTGTGAATGAAAACTTCTGAGTTGAGTAAGGATATTTTATGGGTGTTAGAACCCCTAGCTCAGGCTGAAATTTTGTCCTCAAAGCACATGATGAAATCTCCAGTCACCGCAAGATCACCTGTGTGGCAATAATCCACTTGCTAGGTTAACCACAGCCCGTTTCAAATCCCTGAACTCCCTTCCTCAGTCCTGAGATGCAATCCTTGCTTTCCACTCCCTTGAAATATGCTGCAACATGCTCAAAGGCCAGAGATCTGTGGTTGTTTCTGCATACATACATGTGTGTAACTCAAAACCAAAGTTGCTACAGAATCTTGGGCAAGTCACTTAAACTTCATCAGCTGTTCCCTTATCTAGCAAAATGGGGGATAATTCTCCCACTCAAAGAATCACTGTGGGGATTAGCTATGTTGGCATGGGGAAGAAAAGCAGGTAGGATTTATTCAATGTCTACTTTGTGCCTGAACTGTGCTAAATATACTGCCTATGCTACCACAATGAAAATAAAAATTCAATTCTGTGTGAAGGAATATTGTCAGATCAAAGGTGGGGCTATGTCAGATCAAAGGAGGGGCTATCGAAGTCAGAACAGGAAATGTTTAATAATCTTCCCAAAGTAGCCAATATCTCTCTACCTGAGGGAAAGGCATTTTGGATAGTGGGGGCCTCCTGAGCAAGGCAGGAGCCTGCTTAGCATGATGGAATGACAGACCAGTGGATGAAAGTCCAGATCAGTGTCATACCTGTCAGAGAAATGAGAAGGAAGGGAGCACCCTGGTTTCGTCAAGCTGATTCTACAGGGTGACTGAATAAGGCTTAGGCAAACCACCCCATAAAGAAACTGT